ATCCGGACTCGGCGGCCCCATCCAGACCCGGCGGCTCCTGGGCTCAGCCGCCCCTCTCGGTTCCCACGGCTGCCCCGGCGCGCGGTCCTACCCAGGACCAGGACCAGAGCCAGGAGCGCTTGCGGCCCCTCCCGCCCTGCCGTGTCGCCCCTTCCGACCTCGCTCACGCTGTTCCCTCCCAGACGATGCCTTTCCTTCTCTTCTTCGGCCCCTCGTTTGTTTTTCTTTTGAAATCTGCACCTCACTCTGTCGCCCGGGCCAAAGTGCAGCGACATGATCACAGCTCACAGCCTCGACCTCCTGGGCTCAGACCATCCTCCTGCCTCAGTTCCCCCAAGCCCACCTCGCATTCCCCGCAATACCTGGACTACAGGTGTGCGCCACCACACCCGGCTGTTTTATTTACTTATTTTGGCGAAGTCTCACTGTGTTGCCTGCTAGGATGGTTTTGAACTCCTGGGCTCAAGCAGCCCTCCTGCCTTGTCCTCCCAAGGTGCTGGGATTACAGATGTGAGCCATCGTGCCCGGCTTCTTTTAAAAAAATTTTTTTTTTGGTAGAGATGGGGTCTTGCTATTTGTCCAATCTGGTCTCAAACTCCTGGACTCAAGCAGTCCTCTTGTACCAGCCTCCCAAAGTACTGGAATTACAGGTGTGAGTCACCACACTCAGCCTGCCCCCCCCTTATTCTTAGAGACTGAGCTCAGCAGCTCCTCAGGGCAGCCTTCCTGGACCCAGCTTGGGCTCCTCAGCCACTCCAGGCTAGAAGGGTGACTTTTCTTGGTGTCTGGTACTGGTGTATCCCCAGCCCCTATCATACTGGATGGCCCTGGTCTTCGGACAGATGTGCCCCAGCCGTCTCCTTGCTTAGCTCCCTGGGGTGCCATCTGGATGGAGCCCCGTCTAGACCTATCCCCACCCAAGCAAGCCTCCTCTTGCCTCTTTCTTTTTCTTTTCATCTTTCTTTTTGCCCCTTCCTTCCTTCCTTCAATTGGAGTCTCACTCTCACCCAGGCTGGAGTGCAGGGGTACACTCACAGCCACTGCAGCCTCAATGTGCTGGGCTCAGGTGGTCCTTCTGCTTCAGCCTTCCAAGTAGCTGGAGCCATAGGCACGGGCCACCACGCCCAGCTCATTTTTTTGATTCATTGTACAGACGAAGTCTCGCCAAGTTGCCCAGGCTGGTCTCAAACCCCTGGGCTCAGGCAATCCTCTCACCTCGGCCTCCCAAAATGCTGGGATGACAGGCATGAGCTACCACGCCCAGCCTCTCCTGCCTTTATCTAGAGGCTGCGGGGCTGAGAATTCCCTAAATGTCCTCTCTTCCTCAAAGCCTTCTTTTACCCCTGAACTCCCGTGAGAATATGACACTCTTCTTGTCAGCCTCTTAACTACCCTGAGGCAGAGTAGCTAGTGCAGGTTAGGCATAGATAGATAAGTTTCTTGCAGGCAGGTTTTAGAAAGCGTCCAGATATCCCATCAGCAGGCTGAACGGCCCTGCAGACTGGAATGTGAATTCATTGTGGATTCCCAGTCCACTCCACCCCATCAGCTCGCAAAGGAAAACTCCATCAGGGTGGTTCCTGGACTGGGAATCAAAAAGTCATAGATATGATCAAGAGACCACCTCTCCAGCCATCAGACTCGGAGAGACATCAATCTCTCCAGAGCTACAGTTACCTGGGTGCCATCCTCTTGAGCATATCAATCATTGTGAAGGTATATCAGGCCTACCATAAAAAGCAAAAAGCGGGCCGGCCCAATGACTTACACCTATAATCCCAGCACTTTGGGAGACCGAGGTGAGAGGACCACCTGAGCTCATGGGTTAGAGACCAACCTGGGCAACTTGGCAAGACCTTGTCTCTACAATAAATCAAAAAATGAGCCAGGTGTGGTGGCATGTGCCTGTAGTTCTAGCTACTTGGAAGGCTGAGGTGGAAGGATCACCTGAGCCCAGCAGGCCAAAGCTGCGGTGGGCGTGAGCATGCTACTGCACTCCAGCCTGGACGACAGAGTGAGACTCTAACTCAAAAAAAAAAAAAAAAAGGTGGTTTCTTTTGCCCATGCCAGCTGATTTGTCTATTTTCCCCCTCTTCTTTCTCTAATAAACTGTTTTAAAACTTTGCTGACCAGTCTAAAATTCATTATGGGGGTGAGCCAAGAAATTTGTGAGAAATTCACTGCACCCCACCTGGCATCAACCTCACCAATGGAGAGGCTGTCACCCCATTTCATGGAGGCAGGAGCTGGGGCTTAGTAAGGTCAAGTCGTGGCCCAGGACTAGGGTGATCATATAATGTACCATCCAGGCCAGACTCATGTTGAGATGGGAAGGGAGCATTGTTAAGAATTATGGGGAGTGGGGGGTGGGCATGGTGACCCAAGCCTGTAATCCCAGCACTTTGGGAGGCTGAGGTGAATGGATTGCCTGAGCCCACGGGTTCGAGACCTGCCCGGGCAGCTTGGCGAGACCTCATCTCTACAACAAATAAAAAAATTAGCCAGGTGTTGTGGCGCATGCCTGTAGTTCCAGCTACTTGGAAGGCTGAGGCAGAAGGATCGGTGGGGCCCAGCAGGTCGACGCTGGAGTGGCCGTGAGTGTGCCACTGCATTCCAGCCTGGATGACAGAGTGAGACTCTGACTCAAAAAAAAAAAAAAAAAAGAATTATCGGGGGGACAACCTATTGGGACTGTCCCCAGTCTGTCACTGTTCCTATTTCAGGGACTGCTGCAACCAACTTCCCTTGTCTGACCTTTGGGGGTCCTAGGAGAACAGAGGCTCCTTGGGGTAGGGGCCCTTATGCCCCTTCCTCCTTGACCCCTAGCACCAGCCAGGCTGGGCGATCACTGCTCAGCACTGATCATAGGTGATGATGTCCCAGACTTCCTCCTGCATTCAAGATGTTTGGTGGGAGGCGCCCACCCGGCCAGGCGGGCCTGCCAGTGTCTGCAGTGGCCCAGCCCGGCCTCCAAGGGGCCTCTTCCCTTGGCCTCCACACAACCGTCCTGAAGTCCCAAGATTGAGGCCCCACCCTCACCTTGCGGATGTAGGTGCTGGCAGGCACTGGGTACTTGACGCCGTGAATGGTGAAGACCACGTCTGGCAGCGAGCCAGTGGCGTCGCATGGGAGGGCGTACTGTCCGGGAGGGAGGAAGGAAGGTCGGCCCGGGGGAGTCTCCCGTGGGTGGGGGGCCCCAGGGACCCCTGGCGTGACCCTCACCTTGCCGCCGTAGGCGTGCTCGGCGTGGATGCGCTTCTGGATGTCGAGGATGGAGTCCCGGTGTCCAGAATGGCCTGGCAGCCGCCGCCGCAAGCAATGACCTTCCCATCCATGGTGACGCTGGGAGATTGGGGGGATGGGCCACAGCGACACCAGGCCGCTCCTCGGCCTCCCTCCCTCCCACCCTCCCTGGCTGCCTCCTGAACGGGCTCCCTTCTCTGCTTCCCTTTGTGCTGGTCACACTGGCCTTCTTGGACTTTGACCTCCTTTCAGTC